GTTTTCCAGTATCCAAAAATCATTTGTCTAAGTGTAGTTTCCACATTAATTTAAATCTCAGATAATTATGCATTTAAAATATTTTCCAATACTGAATTAAAAGCATATAATAATACAACAAAGTATAAGCATAGTAAATAATCTTTAGCACAAAACTGAATAGGCAACTAATAGGTCATTAAGGATTAATAGGAATTGAGTCTTATCTAAAGATGATTTTTTGGGTAATTTTAAAGCCATGTTGCTAATATATTAGCATTAAAACATAATGATTCAGAGAACAAAGTCCTAATAATATTAGGATGCTGAACTTATACAAGTTGCATATCCACAACTTAGATCTCTGTATAGACTTAAGAAAGAATTGAGAGAAATGAAGTTAATTGGTTCTGGAAAACAAAATGGATAGATTTGTAGCAGATCTTCTCACTTAACCATTATAAATCATCTCAGGATGAGATGATACTATTTTATAATATACCTAGAATCTCCTTAATCTTACTGTATACTGTAATTCAGATGGAACCCTGGGAGCTACAAAAAAAAACACACCTGATTATCTTGCTCAGGCAAAGTCAACACATTGTCCAACCTTTCCTGCTTACTTGTTTGCACTGACAAGGCAGAGAACACAACTCTGGAGTGAATTTTGACAATGCTCCTGTTTTGCCCACACAAAACTCATGTCATGTTTTGCTGAGAGTTTGTTCAGAGAAAATGGGGAACAAAACCTGGAACACCACTTGGGAGGTGGTAAGATTTCAGTGTGTGGTATCTGTCAAGCTACACAGTGATTGGTGGATAGGTTAGCAGTGGTTGGTGATTTCTGGTGTGGCATATAAATCTTATGTGTCCAAATCTTTTATAGAGTATCTGTAGAGGTGTATGTATTAGTGAAATTCAATATTTTATCAATTATTTTCAATTTCTAGCTGTTTAAAATGGAAAAGGTTTTATTTCATGATAAGACAAAAGCCTAAGATACATAACAACTTTGTATCTTAATAAATGATTTCTTGCCCAAACCTAATCCTGTTCATTTCATTCTGAGATGGTTTGCAAAATTCATTTGTCATTTTAGGAGGGTCATGATATCACAAGTTTGAGGATTCCTACTCTAAGAAATGGACCCCCAACATTGCAATAGAACTGTTACTTGCTGCATTGATTAAATAATTGTTACGTTGTATCTCTGTTAACTGCAAAACAAGATTTAGCCTAGAACTGACATGTTTTCAGAAATCTTAGAATATTGCTCACTTTCCTTTCAGCACTCAGAAATATCCTTGTGGTAGCAAGAACTTCTGCTAGTATCTCTTTTCTATAATTGGTACTCAAGCAATGAACTCCGTAGGAAATGTATCCAAAGGCAAAGCTGTCCAATCTTCTTGCTGTGCCCCTTACAAGAGGACGAAAAACTATAATTGGCATTCTTCTTTTCTCCAATTATTATCAATGCAGGAGAAATAAATTAAGAACAAGTATCAGGAAATTTCTGAACAGTACAAGCTGACAACTCTGTTGTGGATTCTCTTTTTTTTTTAAATGAATATCAAATCACCTGTCAGAAAACTCTTAAGACATATATGGAAGAGGATGATTCGGTGGCACTAGTCTTACTAGTTCCTTCATATTTCATGAGTCTTAGTTTCCAGCCACAGTACTATACCCCTTCCTTCTTATAACTCATAATATTTTATCTTATGGCACCTAAAAATTTTATGCGGGGGGGGGGAGAAGATAAGAATTCCTGCAATCAACTACAATGGCTTGGTGTAACTGCCAAGCACCTAAATTTTGTTCACATGACCACAGAGGTGCTGCGGTGGCCATAAATTCAGGCAGGAGTCATAAGTCCCTTTGTTTAGCACTGTCGTAATTTCATTCATTGAACAAATGGTTGTAAGTCAAGGACTACCTGCATTTTCTCAAATGCAGATAGATGACCTCCAAGGTCCCTTCCAACTTTATTATTATTATTATTATTAAATATTTTATTTCTTGTAATAACAGTCACTGTTAAATAAGAAGGAAGGAACTTGGAACTGCAGGATCTTTCATATAGAAGCACAGAGAACAAAAAGAGGAGAAAAGTGACTTTTGCTTAGGTTCACTCTGACATGAGCCAGAGACAGTTTCATAATATAGGTCAGGGGTAGGCAACCTTGGCTCTTTTATGACTCGTGGACTTCAACTCCCAGAATTCCTGAGCCAGCTATGCGAGTCATAAAAGAGCCAAGGTTGCTTACCCCTGATATAGGTATTTCATTTAAATGGGACAAACTTGTGAACTATATAAGCATAGACATCTCTTGTTTTATCACAACCAATTGAGCAAATCTCATTTATCTTGAATCTAGTTACATGAATTTAGTGCTTTTTGGTTTCTCTCAGTATTTTCAAACATCATTAGACTTAACAGTTTTTCATCAGTTGATATAAATATGTACTGAATGATCATGCTTCTGGCTTGTAAAAACAGATGGGAATTCCATAATGCTAAGAAAATAAAATATACCATAATATGTGGTTTATAGTATATTCTACAACTAATCAGTTGTTTCTAAGCTTTTGGGGTGCTGTGCTAGTTTTTGTTGTGTTTTTTTATATAATATTAATGTTTATATGAAGCTCTCAGGATATGGTATATAAGATGAGTAGCTATAAAAGTCACTTCCATTTGTTTTTTTTTTTAATAAATATCAGCCAATTGCTTTTTTTTCCTTTGAGTTCTTAATATTTAAAGTATATCATATTAAGAACTTACTTCATTATTACAAAGGTTCAAGTTGATTCTATGAATGTCACATCCTTAAGATGTCACCTGTTGAAAATTCAGCTTTGTCTCACCTTTTCTTTGGTAGCATCTATTAAATTTTAATTGACCAACATAGGGAGTTAACCTTCTCAATTCTGGCCACGGATTGCATAAAAATCATGTTTGCCTTGTTTTAATATATATTTCTTAATATTCCTTCCTTGAAATTCTCTTCCAGAAAGAAATTGTGCTCACCTAAAGACCTACTGAGTATTTAACTTCAGCCCTGCTTTATTTGTTACTTGTCACATTTTGCATTTTTCCCACAGTATTATTTTATTACGTATTTGTTAAATTTATTTGTGCCTACCTTGCCTTGGGGCTACTAAGTAGCTTACAACAATAAAAATAGAGAAATGAAAAGAAGTGTTAAACTTATTTGTAAACTTATTTGGTATTTTTGATGGCCGAAATGTTTAAGTTGATGAGCCAAAGCGCTTCAAATAAAATCAGTAACTGAAGAAATTCAAAAGACTAGGTTGTCATGGACAAATTTGAAGCGCCAGTATATGTTTCAAAATTCAGGGAAGCCTTATTTTTAATACAGAAATATCAAATCTCACTAATTTAGGTCATGTCATATCTTCATGATAGATATTCTTATTTGTTCTACTAGGAATTTAACATAATGTGATGGCCCCTATTACTTTATAGGCTGGTCTGTTCCAGTATATGTTAGATAGCGAAGCATATTCAGTAATTATCAACAGAAATATTTAAAACCCCACATAATAATAATAGAATAATAAGGAGAATAATAAGGAGGACTTATATTGTGTTAAAGCTAATAATCTTATGATCGCCATATTGTCTCATTCAAGATATTTTAAAAACAAGCAAGAGCAAAGTTTCATGTCTTTAGAAACAGAGCAGGAAAGAAACCAAAGTTTGAAAACAGTATTGGAATAGTCTTTATTTTCTGAAATTGTCCCCCCCCGCCCTCCCCAAAAGAATATCTTTAACATGAAAGGTTCTCTTGAGTTCTTGCCATTGAAACATTCCCGTGGTCTCGTGATTGCTACCTGGGTGCTTGGCAACTGGCTCGCATTTGCAGTTTGTTGCAGTCCTCTGCAATCGTGTGGTTGCCATTCATGGCCTTCCCGGTCAGCTTCCCTAGAAAGTCAGTGGGGAAGCTGGCAGGAAAGGTCACAGTTTGTGGTAATAAGTTTCCCCCTCCCTGAGCCTCTCTGCGCTTTTCTCTCACCCTGGTGGAACCTCCCCAGCCATCGGTCCACTTCCTCAAACCCTTGCGCACCCTCCTCAATTCTCACTACATCTCCCTTGCATCTCCTCTCACACTCTCCCTGAGCCTTGCCGTGGCTCCCTCACACCATCCTCAACCCTCACCCACTTCCTCGCACTTTCCTCCACCCAGCAATTTAGGTGCCTGCCAGCCTGCTGGGTCTTGCAACTTCCTGCTAGTTTCTCCATTAACTAGGTTATGGGAAGCCAGCAGGAAGTTGTCTTGCCTAACAACTGTATTGCTTAGCAACAGGAGTTCTGATTTCAAGTGTTATAATAAGTCAGGGACTACCTGTATACTTTTTAGATGGTACAGTAATTTCTAATAATAACAATAATAACAATAATAAAGTTGGAAGGGACCTTGGAGGTCATCTAGCCCAACCCCCTGCGAAGGCAGGAAAACCTATACCATTTCAGACAAATGGCTGTCCAGTATCCTGCAACACTCTGAAATGTGACCTTTTTTTTCCTTTATATATAAATCAGAGCCTGATATACTCAAGCTTTCAGTGACAGGCCGCCACTTAAAATACATACATTTTCTGTAATTGGTAATACTGTGCCTATTTATATTTTCTGAATATGATACTCTTATGAAGCTAAAAGTAAATTAAAATAACATGTGCATGTGAGCAAGGCTTGAAATTAACACACTATATGCTCTAATAGCACTAGGTACAAAGGTGAATGTGTTTGTACTTTTTTGCTTCATTGCCTACAACTTGCCGTTGATAAACTACCCTTTCCCCCCCCCCAATAACATATACATACACTGTAATACTAGAAAATACTTATAATTCTGAAGAGAGTGGATGATAAAAGTTGCCTGCTGTATGTTGTGCCTAAAAATATTTCAAGCAATTCAAGAAATGCAACATTGGTTTAATTTAAAAAAAAAATGTGTTATTTACTGAATTTCCCCCCCTTTCTTCCAAAGGTGCTCTTACAGAGTGCTACGATGAACTGGGAAACAGATACCAGCTTCCTGTCTACTGCCTTGCTCCACCTATCAACATGATAGAAGAGAAGGGTGATCTAGAGACTCTGGATTTTCCGGATCCGCCGCCTAACTCGGGTCATGAATGCCAGCTTCGTTTACGCCTCTCAACAGGCAAAGACCTCAAACTTGTGGTCCGCAGTATGGACACTGTGTATCACATGAAGAGACGACTACACACAGTGGAAGGGGTAGAACCTAGAAGTCAGCGATGGTTTTTTTCAGGCCGGCCACTCGCAGACAAAATGAAACTGGAGGAACTGAAAATACCAAGGGATTATGTGGTGCAAGTAATTGTGAGCCAGCCCTTAACAAATCCTGTCTTGGTGGAGAACTGATTTTTGCCTGTATGCCTCTTCTTCCCTTTCCCTGCTCTTTTATCATGTGGGAACTTTTTTACTTTCCATCCTCTCCTACAAATGGTTTGGTTCCAAGCAATGACCAGCAAACCCTCCATCTGTGATGGAATTTAGGTAAAAACACACATAATCAAATATATGCACACACAAATCTATGTATAAACATACAGTCCCTGTTTCTAAACTATACTTGGGGGTTTTGTTCAATTTAGTATTTCTTGACACCACTCTTAGCAAAGTAAATGGAAAAATGTTTGTGATAGAGTGAGCCTGAAAGTCAAGGTAGATAAAGCTGAAACTGAGGTTTGAATTGTAAGTGATGTATTGATCCATGAAGGTGAAAAGCACTTTTTTAAAGGATTAAACCAAATTGAACTGCTTCATGAAATCAGTGTCACTTATAGTTCAGCTGATCATTGTAGCTTCCCTGGTTAATCTAGCATGCTGTGATATTTGTAGGGGTTGTTTCTATTAGGGTTTTATTTACTGGCTCAGTAAGACTCCTGCTTAATAATGAGTAGCAAAGAACTAGAGGTACACTCCAATAATGGTATGTTCTCAAATTCAGGTTTTACTAAACGTTTTGGTACATTCCGATTTAGCAACAAATAGCTATTTGCTAGGGCTGACTTCAGGGTGTATAAATCCTGCCTTCTGAAAAATTGGGCAATAATTTATTAAATACATAAATTTCTTGTCTACTGTAAGCTGTCCACTATAAGGAAACTTGACGTACAAATCCCTGTCACCAATAAAAGGGCCTACTAAATGTGCACTGTTGTGATTGGTGAAAAATCAAACATTCAAAGTACACCAGCTTGAGAATAATAAAGGCACAGGACATCTTTTATTTAATATGTTCACCTCTGATGTTTAAAATAATAGTTTTGAACCTTCTTTACCCTCAAAATAGCAATGAACTAATTAGGAAAAAGCACAAGCTGGTTTCATACACTTTTCTAATAAGAGTTCGGCTTGCTTGATAGCATTTTTACCCACTGATATTTGTATTTTCTTGCATAATCAAGACTGAGGTTTTTATTCCTACTCAAATTAAATAAACATATGTATGTACACACACACACACACGCATACACTGCCATTGTACACAGAATGAGAGAAGGTGATGAGAAAGGATTGAAAAAAAAAAGCCTCACTAGCAGGTGAAAATATTATAGACTGTATAACACTAGATCTTTCAAATATTCCATTAGACCCATAAGTACATTTTGGGGGATTCTGCATTGCATGTATATTTATGTTTTCCCTGAATCCATAAATAAGTTGTAGAGATGGAAGCTTGCATTAAGACTGGATTCATTTAGTTTGTAAAAGCAGCATATATACCCCATAAACTTTTAAATAAGAGAGCATCTTCCATATGCTCTTCTCTTTCACGACACCTGTTCATACTTATGCATTTAACAGTGTATAAACAGTGCCTGTGGCAAATAGATTATAACTTTCTATAGTCGATAGATTTTAAATGACGTCATTTATCTAGAGGTCAATGTGAATCTTAGCAATATCGTACAGGATTTTCCCTTTAGAATTTGAAGGTAAGACATTCTTTAGAGGCGTTAGGTACAGTATATATCCTTTTAAGAGTGCTTTGAGCAAAATTAGTAATGATTCTCTCTAGAATAATAAAATACATTTGGAAAATGGCACTGGCCAGGTGTATCAGAACAGTTAGCATACTCGTCAAATACGTTATTTTAAAATGGGGCATGACATGCTCCTTGATTCTGACATGTTCCTGTGTTTGGTAGTAATGTCATCATCTCTGACACCACTTTTGCTGGCTAAATACCAAATCTGATTTATCTTTATGCACATGGACCCTACAGCTACAAAACTTCTAGTTTTGATTAAATTGATTTTTTAAAAAAAGATACAATATGAACTATCCCGTTTTTTTTAAATTTGGAAATAAGTTTTTATATTTACATGAATGCATCAGAACTATAGAACTTTTCTGGCCATTGTCTATTACTGTCTGATATTTCTATGTAGATTAGGGTCAGTTAATAATTAAAATGTTTTCATAGAAATATTCAGTAAACAGTAACGGTTTTCAAAATGTTGATTAAGTTTCCCATTTCCTGAAACTAATATTAAGAGCTCAACAATCATTGAATGAATTCAAAATTCTGCATATCACTAGGGATTCTTTTTAATATTGGGATTAAATGAAGTAAGGTCTGGATGTGCTTTAAGTGCAATCTAAATATCTACAATGTTAGAATTTTCATTTATTTGGGCAGTGCTTGGATAAGATATATGCACTACATATTGTGCAAGTTACGGGATTACACATCAGCAAAACTATGACAAAATTTATTATTTAGCACTTTTTTTCCCCAGGACTATTTAGAAAAGGGAGAAAAAATGCAGCTATTAAGGAAAAAGTGAAAGCATATATAGTCTGATGATTTTTGTAACTATTTCCCTTTTTTATGTATTCACCCAGTTCATTAAATTAAGTTTGATTGTCCCCCAGTGAATTATATTTACAGTAGTGCTGCCTCAAATATGGAGATAGGGATGGTGAAATCAGCACAAACAAAGTGAGCATCAGCTCCTTCCTATCATTGGCAATCACTCAAATCTGTACGAAAAATATGATAGGCAAATCTATCCAGTATGAGCATTGTCAATTAATAAGTAAATCAAAAGAGCAAGGAACAGCCACTGCTTCCTTTTCTTTTTCTCTTCATTGAGACTAGAGACTTGTCCTGTTGTTCAGAGAAGGAAGTTGATGCTTTTCAGTGTTGATGCATCAGGATTCAATCGTGGATCCTCAACAGCTGCCCAAGAATGCTAGCCAACATGATTATAGGCTTTTTAGAATTACTGTAATAATTTTGTAAAAAAAAAATAACATTTGGAATATAGCTGGCTGTAAAGTGTTCATCAGTAACCATATTGCTCTGAAGTAACAATTCCAGAATACATTAGAATAGTTTCTGTATTTCTCACAGCCCCTAGTGGGCTTTCATGAACAGAATGCATATTGGGACAATTTTTTAATTGTTTCTCAGAACAAAGGAAGAGTCTGGTGAGTGTATTATTTCTTTCTTTTTCTGCTCCAGAGAAGTTAGTTTAAAGATTATAGTTTATAATATATCATTACCACCCTCATCCGACTTTTAGTAAATAATAAGCTTACTATAGGTTTTTAATTTTGTTAATCTGCAAGACAGAACAATTTCATTTGTTGCTTTAACAGAGGTTCAAGCAAGTACTGTATTAAACTGCATTTGTGTGTACTCCGGATTCTGATTCACTGCCAGCTCAGTGTCTATGAAATGTGCCTCCCTCTCCACTCCTATGTAAGAAAGTATATATTATAACACTATAATATTTGGCCGAATTATCAAAAGCAAACAACCATTTTCCTAATAGCCACATCAAATTCCCACATTTCTAATTAACATTTTTTGCTGTTGAATTAGAGTACAAATATATCCAATAATAAGTCTGTTTGTCCCCTTGTCTGGCAAAGGTGTCAGTACTATATGCTTCAGAATTAATGGATAGTCTACAATTTGTTTTTCCTGGAATAGTTTGAAAGACAAAAGGGCTTGTACTGCAATGTGTACAAAAACATAGCAACAAGTTAATATAAGACAGACAACATTCACTGTGCTTCATTTATGCTGCAGAAAAGGTTGTCAAGAAGATTAAGGAAATAGTCATATAAAATGATTATAATTCATCTGTAAAGAAATGTTCAAGAAATAATTTGATAAGAAAAATAGAGTAATATACTGTTTTAAAAGTAAATTGATGGGTAAATCCCTCAGTTTTATTAATAGTATGGTTTCACAATTCATTCCACATAAATCATTAGGATTTATACCAGCGGTTCTCAACCTATGGGTCGCGACCCCATTTGGGGTCGATTGACCATTTCTCGGGGGTCGCCAAACAAGGCAATCCGCCATTTTTCCCCCTCGGGGGGGCGCTGCCGCACATGGGGGCGCCGCCGCACATGGGGTGGCGCTGCGCCGCACCTGGGGGCACCGCCGCGCATGCGCGGCACGTTTGTGTGACGGGGGTCGCTGTCACACAAACGTTGAGAAGCACTGATTTATACTTAGATGGTAAAAGCAATATATTTAGTTGGGAGATTATGTTTGTTTGATAACATATGATATAAACAACTGACAAGGTGCAGAAAAGTTCTTACATAAGTACTTTCATTCCTTAAACGTTCAAACCCAAAGATAAGATTAATGTAACAGATGTGAACAAGTACACATGTAGGTACAATGAAAGCATTGGCATACTAGTGCTGAGATTTTTCTTGTTTCATTTTGAATGTTATAATCATGTGCATCACTTGAAATTCTTTGGGTTCTAACACAAAAAGTCATATTTATTTCATTTTTATATGATCATGCATTCTTGTGCATTTATAGGTAGTGTTTCTTTATGATTATATGGCGCTTTCCTTGAAGTGCAGTTTCTTCATCAATCTAGCAATGTACTTCACTTGCAAATGCCTCCCAAGTGTGCTTTTAAAAATCCATTTCAATCAAACAAAATGTAAATAGCAGAAAGAAATGCTGTGCATGGGAGATACAGGAATGAACCATTCTACATTTTCAACATTTTACTCAAAGCAACAGAATATTAAACTAATGCTAGCAATTTCTTTTGGTTGGCATCCATGTTCCCAAGTTTAGTTGGCTGGTTTTTAAAATAATGATGTAGTCATGAAGTATTCTTTCTTTAATTCAGCTCTTTTGTTTCCTTCCATCTCTTCCATCTCATTTTGAGAGTGGAATGTTTGAAGGCATATCAGTAAATGTATAGAACTAAAAAGTATAAAAGTGGAGGAGGGGTTTCCTTTGAGTTTGCTCCATAATTAAGTTTGAACAACAGTGATGGGTTTCATGGATTGGCAATCCATGAAAAATTATGTTCATGCCTTCTGATTAAGGTCACAGGTTAAATATTTCTGGAAATAGTGCAGATGGTTTGCAAACTAGAACTATGTTGTCAAACACAAAATCCAAATATTATTTTTATGGAGAATAGTAAAAATGCATCTTTTTGATCCCTTTTTCTTTCCTGGTAGTTAAATCAAGCCAAAGATGGAAGTCAACTTAAATGAGTTTTTGTTTTTTTGATTTGAACTCACAGATACACAAACCATTTTGGGGGCTTTAACTGAAATAATGAAATTGCCTTCTATCAAGGGCCTTTGTTGTGCCTCTCTTCTCCATATCCTGGGAATGTCAAGAAACTGGAGACAGCCTTTCGAGCTGTTTTGCATTAGGCAGCTGGCAGTTTATAATGACACTCTTTTCTGATGTGCTGAGCAAAGGACTCAAGTTTAATGTCCTATTTGCCTCATGGTAGTGGCTTCCAAAGATGGCTGGTACCATCAATTTGTATTTCTTGAATAAAATATCTTCTCTTTTCTGGTAAATCCTTTTTTGTACACTGTTGTGTGCCATGTATCTAAAAAGCACTCATGTTCTACAAATGGTTAGTAATTCAGTACCAGTACACAATTTCAGTGGCTAAAAAGAAAGAGGAATTACAGTGATGTGACACCTTTTCTTCCTGTAACTTTTATAAAATTAAAAAAAAATTAACTTTATGCATGGATTGTATGGACCTTTTTAAGAGGTTTTTTTTAATTAGCCCAAGAATAAATTCTTGCTTTCTCTGAAAAGCAAGAGATCTCTGAGCACAAATAGTTCTGTTTGAACAGTGAAACTATAAATAAAACTTTTTGATTTCAAAAAGGTAGAAATGTATATTATAGAATTATGTGTTAAAAAGAAAAATGAAATGCCTTTTAGTTATTTGGGGAGGGTTAAACAATAAAGATAATACAGGATATGTCTTGTTTTAAAATACAAGTTCTGTGTTCTTTCTCTCTTAAACTAGAGCTAAATTATTTAATGGTTGTTTCTGTCCTGGCTTGCTGGAATCTGTAGGTCAGCAAATGCCCTTGTACAGTATATATTATTATAGCAATGCACTATGCCTAATTGAAATTCTGAATCTATTTAGAGCATTCATAATACTGGTTACATAGTATTATTACTCCCTTGTGACATTTTCAGTTTCTACCTGAGAGTACAAAGTATATGAGTGGGAAGATTTTCGTCAGAAAGATCCCACAACCATTGATCATTTTTAGTCAGCAAATCCTTCATTGCTAATTTGAATATAGAAGTGCCGTGATTATGTCCATGAATGAATATTTAACACATTTGCATCTACCTTAAGACTTCCATTTTGCTTGCTTACTGTTCTTTTTAGTCCACTTTTCAATTACCATCTTCCAAACCCCTTTTTCTATGGATGATAAAACCTATAGTCGATGTTTTTTGGTTTTTATTTACCATGATGTTTGTGAAATACTTCTTAAAAGTCACACATATGAAAAGTAGTACAGAGTTCAAAAGGTGATAGTGGGTTTTTTTCAGGTATGTCCCCATGTTTGGAAGAAAAAAAATTCCAACTGTACATTCCAACATAAAAATGTGCCAAGAAGCCACAGCAACTGCCAGCATGCATACAAATTAAAATGTATGTGAACTTCTAATATTTTAGAAATATGTTAGGTACTTCAGTGCAAAAATTCAGGACAAAGTTTCAATACTATGATGGAAATTCAGACTGACCCTGACATTCTTCCCCTAAATGAAATGTGGTTCAATACTCTCTATCCCAGTGGTTCTCAACCTGTGGGTCGGGACGCCATTTGGGGTCGAACGACCATTTCACGGGGGTCACAAAACAACGCAGTCTGCCATTTTTTTCCCCTTTTCCTTAGCTGTGCTACTCCCTTTTATTCTATTAGCTTTTGAAAGCCAATAGAATAGACTCTCGTGAATAGAGTCTAATTCTATTGGGTTTCAAAAGCCAATAGGAATTGTCCAGGCTGTCTCTGCCCTGCTGAGCCCGCCAAAAGTCCCATTCTGCAAACGGTGCTGCACCAGTTGAGTAGTCCTCGACTTACGACCGGTTGGGGGTCGCGGCATTAAAAAGGTTGAGAACCACTGCTCTATTCTAAAGAAATGGGAAAGTCCTTTTACAATTAAAAAAAAACTTCCTTTGAAAACTACTCATGTTTGAAACGTTTATAGTTTTCACATAACTCTTGGACATACTAGTTTATTTCTATATAAGTATCTCTATAAAGGGATAGCAATATCTATTTGAGCACTTTCCTTAAGTGTAGTGCCTAGAATCTATTTATATTCCATGGATATTTGTAGTAGGCCACAATATGTTCTTTTTAGACGTGCAGTCAATCTAAACAAAGTCAAAGGAAAGTGTTGAGTCCTGCAAATGTATAGTTATGGACATGGAAGATCAGACAATGAATCAGTTGGGGTGTAACGGCATTAAAAGGAGTTAGTTTTGGCCTGAAGCAACTCCAGGCTGGTTGGGATGATTGGCCATGTTAAATAAAGAAAACCAAAAAAGATAGGTGGGAGGATGGGTGTTTTGATTTCTCAAACTTGCCTAGAGCTCTGGACTTTCCAGACATTCATTCATCCATTTTAGATCAAGGTGTTCCATCTTATCGTGGCCTTTTTAAATATTGTCCATGCAATTCTTCCATTTTTCTAATCACACAATTCATCCCAATAAGTGATCGGTTGTTTCTTGATTTTCAGCCTTCTTTTTTTACTTTTTGAAAAATAGGTTATACTTTAAAAGGTGCTTTATTCTTTCAAGAACACAGAACATTTCCATAACACAGCACCCCATCTTGTTATTGCTCACTTATATCTTGTGATTGTTTTGAACATTTTGCAAGGTTTTCCTTTTGGTTCAATTTGCTGAATCTTGGACAGCTGTCATAGATCAATTTTATATGCTGTTAGAACTTCTTGTTCTGTTTAAATCTGGTACAATCAGTATACTCCTGTTTCAACTTCACCTGCAGCTTTCGCCATCTCTTTCTTCAGTTTATCTTTTGCTTTCCTCTGTTGTCTATCAATGCAGAAGATCGTAAACATTCTAAACTCCTTGTAGTTCAATTGCTAATGGAGCAAAACATAATAGTATTTTAGTGGAATATTGACAGGCTTATAAAGTACAGTGATACCTTGGTACTCAACTACTTTGAAACTCATAGAATTTGATACTGAACACATTTTGATGTGAAAATTTTGTCCTGGTACTCATTGTTTTGGTACTCATTGTGCCTCCCAGAACCAATTAATGATGAGAGCAAGATACCACTGTAATCCCCGGACAGTATTTGGCTGTCTCTCTTCAAACAGTATTCTGCTTCACTCTTCCTTCTCCCTCTATTAATACTCTTCAAACTAAATCTCAAAAGTCCATAGAATTGCCCAAATATAATACCAACCATTCATCCTTTTACAAAGGAAAATAGTCTTGCCTCATTCTATATACAAAAATAAATTGGATTGGAAGGTGCATCTTACTTCGATATTTACAACTGTTTGCCTGAGCTCTCCATTTGTAAGCATACTGAAGTAACAGTTGACTATAGCCTTCCAACCAGCTATTAGAAGCTGCATCACCCAAAATCAGTGGGTGGATCTTCTTCAGTGCATGCTGGAGTTGACTTCTGGAAAGGGCCATCTTATAAAAAGTTGAAACCGAGTAAGCTAATAAACTTTTTTGAGCTTGAAGTTTCATATAATCTTAACAAAGAGTCAGAAATTTCAATGTCAGTGGATGCTGCCCTATTGATACAAGAAGGAATGCCACGTTACCAAGATCCTTCTCAACATTCACAGGAACTTAAATCATGTTACACATGGCTGACAGGTTAGAAAGGATAATCATGCCTTCTTAAAATCACTAAACCTTTTCACTGCACCAATTTGAACATTCCGTATTTGTATATAAATAAAGTGGAACTATTCACAGAGATACAAGGCAAAAATAGTAAAATTTTAAGCATGAAATAGCAAGCCAAAAATTATTCCAAAATACATCATGCTTGCTACAAAATTAACTTTGTTTTTTCCCCCAACAAATCATGGCTAAAACACACTCTGGTTTACTATGATATTTAAACATAGCAGAGGGACTAACATACAAAGAGGATATAAGTTTTTGGTGGGCAGCGCAGTTACAATATTAGATGGGATTGCTTCTGGCTAACAAAAGATACTGAGATGTCACAGCTGAGAAGGAGGAACCTTTCTCCTGTGTTCATCATATCGGATTACCTCATCACCTGAGATGTCAAAGTCCTTGAATATTTGACTCAGCTCAGTCTTTCTGACATTGAAAAGGAAGCGTGTGGCCTGGAACTCTGCTGGAGCAACTGTATGGCCCCCATCAATGTCCAGCAACTCAAAAACAGCATGAGAATGACGATACATGAACTGTTTTTCAAGATGGTTCTGGTTAAAGACAGAAAGGCAAGAACAGCAATTAAGAGCTGCTGCTCTAGTCTCTTCAAACATTAAAACTAAACATTATTGATAGATATCAGAAAAAAATAACTTGAGATGCTTCTATAATGGCAATCTGAATGTGAACAAGAGCCAATCTCATGGATGAGAACAGGATTTGAAACCCATTTCTGTGATGGCTTGATGCCTGGGCTTTCAGTGATAAGATTTAATGAGAGGTGTGATTAGGGATAATTATACAAAGAGGCCAATTTTTTTTTTTAAGAAGTTAGGTTGTAGACCATAGGATATCTTTCAGGCAGGAAGACTTCAACAGAATGTTGGTTTGTGTTCATGTAATGCATATCTAAAACAAAGCAAAAAAACCCGTTATGGGGGAAAAAAACCAGGCATTTCGGCTTCTCGCATTCTTAAATCTAAATAACACTCTGCGCAGTTAGTCCTCATTTACCACCTCGATTCGGAACCATTCAAAGTTGTGATGGCACTGAATAAGTGGTAATGACCAGTCCTTGAAATTCTGACCATTGTAGCATCCCTACAGTCACATAATTGTAATTTGAGCGTATGGGAACCGGATCACACTTAGCAATAGTTGCAGCATTCTGCTTTCATGAGCTAACTGTTTGTGGCTTTCCTTGCTGGGTTCCCTGATGTAAAGTCAATGCAGAAGCTGGCAGGGAAGGTTGCTAGTTGCCCTGGCAAGTTCTGCTAGCTTTTCTGTGCTCACACCCACTGTCCCATGCATCCCAGTGTTCTTACACTTGTGTGTGGCCTGTTCCAGCCTTCCCAAGGCCTCCCTCCCACATAATATCCCTCATTCCCCTGCAGCACCATCACACTCCTCATCTGGCTCTTCCATCATTTCCCACTTAACAATCTCTGCATCTTGGGGTTACGAGGGTAACTGGGACCGTCAGGATCGCTGTTGCTAGGCAATGCTTTACAACTGCATAGCTTAGTGACAGCAAACCTGGTACCAATTACCATGTAACCCAAGGACTATCTATATAGAAAAATTCATTACCTCACTATCAAATGTCATTAACTAACGGGAGAATACCGATCATTCTTTTGAACTTTGAACAGGAAAAAGTTTACACATGGTTACACTGGCAGGTATCCCGATATGTCAGAACTAGGTTTTGCCGAACTAAATATAACAAATTCTATTGGAAGGCTGCAGTGAAATGGGAGGGAGCTGCTTCATGCAATTCTCTCCCCACACTTGTCAATCAGGCTACTTTTGAACATGGGTTTAATACCGATTGAGAGGAACAATAAACCCATGTTTAAAAAAAATAGCCTTGTAGCAGCTGACAGGTATATAAAAAGCTATACAAGGTAGAGAGAGGGAGATTCTTATATGGTGCAACTGCCCATGAGTTACTTGGAGCCATACTGTACAAGCCATCCATGTACCTGTCATATAATGGACTTGGATTTATGAAAAATGCTTCCTTTTTTAAACTAGCGCAGGGGTAGGCAACCTTGGCTCTTTTATGACTTGTGGACTTCAACTCCCAGAATTCTGGGAGTTGAAGTCCACGAGTCATAAAAGAGCCAAGGTTGCCTACCCCTGAGCTAGGGTATGAGTGGATGCTAGTCACAAGAGAAGAATGCAAGCCTGACATTTATTTCTACCTCCACAAATCATGATTTGTACAGTTAAGAGCATATCTAAAATATTTACAGTTAAGTTATTTCCTAGTGTTAGGTGACCGCTTATAGTCTCTTCATCTGAAGCAAAAAACCTCCTTATTCCACCTTAGCATTTAAAAATAAAATTGCTACTAGTTCAGCTAAATACAATTCAGGCATAGTTCACACACTGTGTAAATGGCAATTTTTGCTAATTTTGACTTTGAATAAGATGACATGCTGACACATCAGTCTCAGTTGATCCTGCCTTCTATCAACAGGAACCAGATGCCCAAATTGTAGAAGCTCATATCATGGTTTGTTTCTACCAGTTCCTAAACTGGCATCCCAGACTAGTCTCTATCCTATAAACCAGAATTAGAAGATACAGGTTATTCTTATATCTTCCATTGGATTCTCAGGGAAAAATGTGCCAAGGATTCTGACTTAAATTATATGAGAAAACATGCAGCTTCTAGTCAATTGATTCCCATAGAAGCATCAACCAAGGAGGAGCAGGTGAACACTCTGTACAGATATGTAAGCTTTTTCACTGGGAAATCATAAATGAGAAATCAGCTTGTGTGAACAATTGGACTCAGAATTGTCCATCCATTTGCAGAAAGGAAAATGCTTGCAGAACATATTTTTCTTCACTTACTTACCCCAAAACTCCTCTAAAAAATCCTGCTATATAAGTGAAAACTAGATTACCTGATGATAGATGGGCTTCAGTGCAAAACCAAATGTTTCTTCAATCATCTCCAGCAATCTAGCTAACTTACCTCATGGGCCATTATTATGCACACCAACATATAGAATTCGTCAAAGCCGATTTCCCCTTTGCCATCCCAATCCAGTAAATCAAAGACCAGCATGATTTGAGCTGAGGACAGATTAGTTACATGGTGAAGGAAGCGGTAAAACTGCAAATCTGAAAAATGATGTGGTATTAGGCATTGTGTGTGCAATGGGTCTACTATAGTTAACAAGACTATTAATAATAGTATACTGTACATTTTAAAATCTCCAGATGTAGACTGCAAAAATCCAGATGATGGTACAGAACATTTTTGTTTATATCTTGTAGTAATCATCTTGATTTTTGCTAGCCAAATCTGGTAACTCTAATATATTCCAACTTGTAATACAGCAGCTAATATTGGTTGGATTAATACATAATGGTTTACTGAATAGGTGATAATAAGTTTCCCACAACAGAGAAGTCAAAATCTAACAATATAATTTGGTTTAGTTAAATGTTGGAATCCAGCCAGATTAACAGCAGAACCAATAAGAGTGGTTGTTAATATCTCAAAAATCCATAAAAGACATTTTCCACATATTATTGAAAAAGTTTATTTAAAATATATAATTGAATATATGTGCATTCCTGACTCTAACTGCAACCTAAAATAATCAAAAAATTATGCTGCCTTAAATCGAATGAAGAGGCAGACATTGGAAACAAGTATGAAAAGCAGTTTTCCTCTTCCAAATTTGGAAGCAGTCTGTCCTTTGCTCTGCTTGAAACGGTCCAGTGCAGCACTCCTATCTGGTACCTTCTAGATCAGCTGGGCCTGAAACTACTAGAATTCCCATCCCAATCGCTATACAGTCTGGAATTCTGGGAGATTCGTTCCAAAGCATCCAGGGAGCACCATGTTTGGAAAAGCTGCACGGTGAAGTTGTGAAGCAACTTCAAAGAAGTGCTTTGTTCAAAATGGCTTCAAAGAACCTCTCCCAAAGGTGTTTTTCAAAAGGACTTTGTTTTTTTCCTTGAAGACTTTTCACTTCTCATCCAAGAAGCTTCTTCAGTTCTGGTTGAATGGTAGGGAATGGAGGGATTTATATTCTTAGCAGTCATCTGGTTGTTGGCACTCTGAAAGTCAGTTATTAGTTCTCTGAAACTTACTAAAGCCACTTGGGGGTTTATCTGTACTCTCAGATTCACCTGAATCGGAGTACAGGAGATAGGTGGTGTCATATCCCTCTCCCTCTGTTGAGAGAGGGCTGTTCAGTTTTAACATAGGTTGCCTCTTTTACCCCTCTTTCAAACCAACGGTCCTCTTTCCTTGAAGATAGCAAGGTACACATTCTGGACACCACTTGTCTCCTGTTTACAACAGAGTCCTTTCAGCAGTCCCAAGAAGGTTCTATACCCATTTGCACTCTGATTTAGGTGAACTCGAGGGTACAGATAACCCCCCCCCAAGTGGTCTCAATGATAAGATGACTACTAGGAATATAACCTCTCCAATTCCTCATTAGTCTACTGATTTTTGGTCTCAGAATTGTTACAATTAGATCAACTTTGAGCTCCTAATTCCAGATAGGGGCTATGTTTGCATGATATATGAACCTCAGCCTAGGCAGCCATATTTAACCTAGTAAGCTGTGCAAATTCATCTGTGTAGATATTTTACACTTTAATCTGTCACAGTAATCTACCAAGATAACTGAGCTGCGTAAACCATGGCTGATTTAACCATAGTTCAGTGTGTCAAGGAAATAAAGCCACTGGGATAAATAAGAAAAGGTTAGTGGAATACTCTAAGAGAGGCATATAATGCAATCTACTTGGGCTCATCTTTGATAGTTAATCTATGTTAAACTGTTCAACATAGCAGTATCATTTGACTTCAAGTCTGAAGATATTCAATGAGGTATATTCAGTTTTCTCTCGCTGTTGTCTTTTCAATAAAGTTGAAACCCCCCCCCCAATACTTAAAGATCTTCAAAAGGAAATAATACAATAATGATAATCCTATATTCCATCATTTTTATGGACTTTTTTTTAGCTTCCGTATCCTACTTACTATTCAAAGCGTTCTTCTTATGAACATCAAGTAGATGAAAGTAAGCTGTCAGAGCTCTGGCATTTCTGACAGATAATAAGCAGTATATTTTATCTAAGCACAAAAAATGAAAGAAGCTTTTTGGCTTCAGCCTCATCTTGCCATAGAAGAATTATGTTTATATTTGGAATTCTGGAATTGACCATGGTGATGCCAACACTATAATCTCAGAATTCCACCCTGGAATTAGAACATGATGACGAAAAAGACTTTCGTGCTGATCTACAAAGGTTTTGCACTCAGAGAACAAGGATGAATAAGAAACATTTCTGCCTTGTGTTTAATTATCTAGTATCCTAGCATCAATCTAAGCCTTTTGGTTCTTCCACAGGAGCAGTAGATTACATTGTCTCTCTCCACAGGCACCAGTGCAATGTTATTGCGAGACTTTATTGGTGCTTGCTACACTCCCTTCCCCATGTAACATGTAAATAATACTTCAAGAGGAGGAAAGACATCTCCAATGCAAATTGCCGATCCCATCATCTTTATATAAACAAACGGTCTCTAAGTCCCATTATTATGATATAGGCCCTATTGGCCTTCTAAGGAAAAATGGAATGGGATTTATTTGGAAGTAGGCCTCCTGACCAGAAAAAAAAGGCAGATAAATTGGGAGCTGATAATATCTTAAGGACCTTGAGAGACTATCAAGACTTACCATTTGCATTCTGCTAAATCGGTATTTTTCAAACTTAGCAACTTTAAGATGCGTGGATTTCAATTCCCAGAATTCCCCAGCTGGCATGAATTCCAGACATGCCACTCACTCTTCACCTTTCTCAAGCATTCATTTTATGTACATTCAGTCCAGTTTTCAGTCTTTTATTTGCTGAAAGGTAAGTAAATTTACTAATGAAATGCTATTATGAATCTTCTGGTTGCAGATTTAACTACTTCTTAAATTTTGCTATTTTTCTATTATACTATTGTACAATTGTTTCTCATAGAACGCCCAGAACGGAGTTCCAGCACCTTTTTTGGATGGAACCTTGCAGAGTAGGCAAGGCGGGTTGTATGACCTGTGTGAGTTCCGGCACCTTTTCTTTTTTTTAGAAAAAAAGGAACTGATAAGAATGATCATCAAGATGTTTACAAGATTGTTATTCTGTTTTCCATCTACCATATTTGCTACATAAGTGAGCTCTGAAATTCCACATAGTTCCTCTAGATGTCTCTACTAGATTATATTTATCAACATTTCTTATTTAAAAAAAATAGCTAAAATATTTCAATGGATAAATTTGGATGCAAGATTAAAAATGAAATTAAAAATATTTTTTTAAATACTGAAAAACTTGTGAGATATGCAATAGTGGCAAATATCTGTAGCTCAGGTATAGGATGAGGGTGAAGTTTCATTCTCCGAGCTTGTGGGTTGGTTTCTGAACATTTCGTTACCCAGGCTAAGTAAAATATTTAAAATGCCGCTGAAAATGTTATCTAGCTTGGTAATGAAACATTTGGAAACCAACCCATAAGCTCGGAGAACGAACCTTCACCCTCAACTTGTGAGATAGCCAAATTCGACTTTCTTCTCCAAAATTTTGCAAAATTCAGGTAGAAGGACAAAACAGAATTTGGGGGGCAGTTTTTACAAGACAGAGATCTCATAGAATCAGAGTGCCAAAGCTGACAAGATGTTAATATTCAAGAAAGCACATGAATATCTTGTGAGCTTTGGCACTCTGATCAGACATGTTGAAGACATGGTCTGCTTACAGGACCCTCCCAGATCATATATTGAGAATATATCTACTGTACAGATAACTTCTGAATGCCTTCCCTTATGTGATGACTAACCATGCTGGGTAGATTTACAGAAATAGAGGCCCAAACATAGGGACATAACTTGGCCCACTTATAGAAGGAAAATGACACAGCAATAAATTTGAAGGCTTGGCTTTATGTATCATGTCAGAGTCTATTTAACAAAAGTGAGTGGGGGGAGATGAAATGAGTGCCTGATTCATGAAATGAGTGCTTTGCAAGGGTCTCCTTCATATATTTTTTTTAAGACAACATAATGAGCTAACGTTTTGGCTCCATCGTTTCAAAAAGGATACTTGATTGATTACATGCTATTCTCCACTCACACATTCTGTCCTATATTATAAATGCAGCATTGTCTGTCCTATGTTCTGCAAATAAGTTTATAAATTTTATCTCAAAGCTGCTAAATCAATGGAACCAACAATACCACAAGTCTGTATTAGTTCCTGATGTCATAATGGGGACTGTAAACCAGACATATCAAACTCGCGATATCAGAACTTCCCCCCCCCCGTTGCCGGCAATGGGGTAGGCGTGGTTTCCCCGTGATGGGTTGGCAGTTTGACACTCTTGCTTAAACTGACAGGTCGGAATAACAAAGACTTAGACCATGTTTTCACAGCATATACTGTACCACAGGGCTTTTTTTCTCATAGAATGCCCAGAACGGAATTCCGGCATCTTTTTTGGATGGAACCTTGTAGGGTAGGCAAGGCGGTTGTATGACGTGTGTGAGTTCCGGCACCTTTTTTTTTTTTTTTTAAAGAAAAAAAGCACTGAGGTACCATAACTGAAACATGATTCAGTAAATTAACACAGTAATCCTGGATTCACATAGTAGCTAAACTCAGCTCAGCAGCAACCAATACTGGCTACACAGAAGTCTTGAGTATTTAACCCTTCTGCAGCACTGGGATTGTGTGGACTTAGACAACATTGGACACTTCTTCTCCAGTGGCCCACTTATCAGCATTTCCATATCAGCCATTCAGAGTAACTTCCAGCGTCATCTAACCTTCATTGTGCCAAACTAACAATTCTCTTTTCTCACTTCAATAATTAGCTGGATAATGCTGTCAAGATGCTCCTGAAAACATCTGACTGGAAGCTTAAAACTTGGAAAATATGCAGCAAAGGCAAAAACAACAGCGTATATATACTTAACCAAGTTTAAGAATGATTCCTATACTGTGCATAACATCACACAGCAGGGCAAATATAAGCATATCTATTACTTACAGTGAGACTTCTAAGTCAGAGGTGTCAAACTGCTGGCCCGCAGGCCAGATGCGTCCTGGTGAAACTGCGCCAACCCCATTGCCAGCAATGGAAAAAAAATCACGATACGTCGCAACACGTCACATGACGTTCTGAGTTTGACATCCCTGTTCTAAGTGGATTTTGTTGTTGTTAATTGCGAAGTCGTGTCCGACCCATCGCGACCCCATGGACAATGTTCCTCCAGGTCTTCCTGTCCTCTATCATCTTCTGGAGTCCATTTAAGTTCGCACCTACTGCTTCAGTGACTCCATCCAGCCATCTCATTCTCTGTCGTCCCCTTCTTCTATTGCCCTCAATCTTTCCCAGCATTAGGCCCTTCTCCAGTGAGTCCTTCCTTCTCATTAGGTGGCCAAAGTATTTGAGTTTCAACTTCAGGATCTGGCCTTCTAAAGAGCAGTCGGGGTTGATCTCTTCTAGGACTGACCGGTTTGAACGCCTTGCAGTCCAAGGGACTCGCAGGAGTCTTCTCCAGCACCATAGTTCAAAGGCCTAAGTGGATTTAAATGCCTGCAATAGTGCAAATCAGCAGATATACAAAAAGGGGAAAGTTAAAACTCAGTTGCTCTTTTCTCTTTTTCTTTCTGTTATTTAATTTTTACTAAATCTGTACTGCTTATTTATTTTTCCCTTTTAAGTATAGTGTGCACACACACATAGATACACACAAAATTATTAAGTAATTACATAATGAAGTAATCAGTTCAAGATCAAAACCTTTATTATACATTTATTACTTTGCAGTCTGTAGCATTCTCTTTTTTAAAGTGTTACATACATTTTTGGATGAAAAAGCCAAATAGTGTAATGTTATGTTTGCAGCATTATCATCCTAAATTGTAATTAATATTGATAGTTTTTTCTCTTTAATATTCCATTGTTTAATTTACAGAAGTAAACAATTACAACTAATTACTAATTTAGATAATTTAGAGAAATAAATTACAACTAAATAAAATTAAAAATATTAATATATATCCTTGTATTGAACCAATATATCAAGACTTAAAGCAATATATTGTAATAAAAAGGGCAGAAAAGATGCTGTAAATTCTAGAGGTTGCTAACTATCAATTAAGGGGACATAAATCCATCTTTATTACAATTTTGGCAGCACACCAGTGGAATTACTGGCCAATAACAGAAGGTATCTCACTTATTACAATTTTATTGCAAGTTTGAAAGGCTTAAAATGCAGCGCACTTCCAATAAAGTAATCATATATTGCATTAATACAAATAGGCAGCAAGCTGTATTATGACTTAACTTTATGGATGAACCACGTCCGTTTAAACAATTCTGAACTAGCTATATGTAACCTACTATTTGTCAATATCGTATACTACTCATGCTGAAGCTTATTCTGGTTTGCTTGATCCAGTTTCCTACATTGGCCACACAAACTGGACCACAAGCTGGGTTTGTACCGGTATAACTTGCTAATTTAGTTTTATAAGCCAAAGAGAGGGTCCACTACATTTTGGCAATAGTCTTACTAATTGACAGGCATTTAAAAACGTGCTGTTATTTAAAGCACTTGGGTTGCCCTAGACAACCGTTATTTTCTCTGAGCAATTCAGGAAACCATGTCTTACTCACCCGTTTCTATCCCAACTTAGCCTGACAATTTTCAGAAAGTCACATTCAAAGACATGATTAATTTCCCCTTCTCCCCTTTGCCGCTCCCAAGGGGAACCGGCTCTTTAAATTAGGACCTTGAGATCCTTCCCCGAATTCTTTAGCTTAGCAGCTCTGTTGTGAAGAAAGCATCTTGAACGCGGAAGAGGCTACCCGGGTATTCTATGGTCCCCATTTATCCAACTACGATATTGTCCCGCCAAACTTATTGGAAACAAGTATGAAAAGCAGTTTCACACACACACAATCACACCCTGAGGAGGAGGAGGAGGAGGAAGAAGAGCGGGCAATGGCTGTGGAAGGGGGTCGCGGAAAGGCGGGCCGCGCAGGAAGACACGGGGCGGGCTCACCCTGCTCTGACGCGACCCGCGCGGGGGAGCAGCTCAGCGGAACGCGTGCTGGGGCGGAGCCGCGGGAACTGGAAGGTGTCCTGGCGGGGAGGGGCGGGACCCGCCAGTGAAGCTGGGAGGGGTTGGCTCCGGTCTGACTTAGCAGGTGAAGCGTCGCTCGCAAAGTCTTAAGTTCTTGGCTGGCTGGGTCGGTCCTTTCCCGCTGCCTCGGGGTAACCTCGGAGCGCTCATTTCGCGCGCTGCCGGTTGCAGTTGGAGCCACTTCTTCTGCCCTGAGATAGCCCGGCAAGCAGGGGGTGGGGGCCGCCCCCCCCACGTTTGGCGGAGGAACCGGCGGAGAAGCATCCTTTGGGCTGTCTCCTCAGCCGAAGCCCCGTGAAAGCACCGGCCGGGCGGGAACTGGTTCGGTTGCTTCCTCGGAAGCTCTCCTTCCGTCGTTAGGCTTCGGCAGATTAGCCCTTTCCAGCCTGGTCGGTTTTGCCTGTAGAGAAGCCTGTCCAGAGTCGTTTCTTTTCGGTTTCTTTCTCCTGACACGTCGATGGTGAGGATCCCAAAGCTCAAGCCGAGGCGCTGCTATGGCCTTCGCTAATTTCCGGCGCATCTTGCGCCTCTCTAACTTTGAGAAGCGGCGATCCAAAGAGTACGAGCATGTGCGCCGGGACTTGGATCCCAACGATGTCTGGGAGATCGTCGGAGAGCTGGGCGACGGCGCCTTCGGCAAGGTGTACAAGGTGAGTAGGAAGATGAAGACGGGATGGGGCGGGGGGGGGGAGATCGCACGGGCAACTCGGAGTAGGTTCAGAGAAGAACAAGAGGAGGATCCGAGGGAAGACGAGGGAAGTGGGTGTGGTCAGCGGTAAGATATGAAAGACTTTTTCAGGTACTGTATCAAACATAAAAGAAGGTTATTCTTCTGGAGTGCAAGATAAGCATGATGGACTTAAGATGCCACTTAAGAACTTATGATCAGTTCCAGCAGGTTGACAATGGAAAGGTGTGCGCTGCCCCCTTCACTGGATGTGTGGACAGTTTACATTTATATCATATATAAATGTTACACTTTATACAACAACATTTCATAACATATTTTATATAAAGCTATATAAATGTTTTTAATGAATTAAATTTAGGGGTTCCCTTGGTAAGTCTAGAAAATACCCCACTCCATATCATACTGTAATTGTATTTTATTTTTTATTTAGTTAGTCAGCTTATGGCTGCCACTTGTCAAGCTACTCAGGACAGAGGAAATGACTCCAAGCCATAACAAGCCACTCAGCAATAAACTATGGTTTGTAAATTACAGTGGCTGAGTCTGTACAATGCAGTGTGCCTAAATGAAGTAAACCACATTATGGCTTAGTGTAATATATCAACCAAATCTGTTATTCTAAGATAAATTTCTCTAACAGTTACAATCTTTTTTTATTTTTTGTAGAAGTGATATTAGATTGTGGGAGAATGTATAAATTTGTACTTTCCCCACATTTGTAATAAGACTGATTTACTATAATAACTGAAGATGGGATTGGAGATTTTGCATTCTCTTTTCTGGATGATTCTGTACTTTGTTTATTCAGGGACATGTGTAATTATGCATCAGGCATCAAGATTGCATCTTCTCAGTTATAAGTATGTGGTATAATCTCAAATTAAGGAGACTGTCCAGATCTGGAAGAGCCTTTCAGTTCAATACTTTGTTCTCTGTACTCATAGTTAACTGTCTCCCCTTTTCTAATAGATTGTTTCTGCACCATAGGCCTCAAAATAAGTTTGAGCCCCATGTATCTAATCAAACCACATTAAGGTTTGTTCCCTTTTGTTATATGGCTCTAGCCACTATTAATGAATTATGAGGGATGGTTAAAAGTTGCAGCTGAACAAATGTCTGGGGAGTCACACACGGCCCATCCAAAAGTATGAAATAGAAACTTCTATTTTAAAAGAAAGTTTGTGGAAGAGAGAAAAGTTAACAGCCTTTTTATTTCTCCCTCCATTCTGATTGTCTTCATTTGTTGGATCTAACATTATCTTCCATTTTTACTATATAAATGTTTTGGGGTATTCTAATACAGCTGTGCAATTCCAATGAATAATTATGGATAGAAACTGCCAAGAAAATAGCAAGGCTCCTTGTCCAAAGAAAGACTGCCTGAGGGATTACTGGAGCAGCAAGCTAAGGGATGTAAAAGTAAGGCTCAAGAAGGCTCCTTTACAGCTTAGTAATGAAAAGAAGTAGTTTGGATTTCTGAACCTATTGTGCCCAACACAAAATAAGTGGCTGCATGGTTAATGTGGTTTGGAAATGCTTGGTTTCTTCTAAGTATTTTTAGGAAAATAATAACTGAGAATTGGACATGATTTCTGCATAGATATTATACTGACATAAAATTCTTAAACAGTAGGCAAAGGAAGAGACTTGAAAACAGCTGAAAGCAATAATCCCTGCAGGGCTAAGTATTCTTCTCCAATATATCTGCTCAGAATATTCGAAATGGATGCTCTCTGAATTCATGATTGATATGAGTTGAGAAGGCTCATTAGGATGGGAGTTGTTAGTTTCCATCCTCCATCAAAGAGGCAGATCAGGAGTTTGATAAATGATAAGTGATAAATAATAAGATAAAGAAAAAGTATTGAGCTTGTTTGATTAATGGAGGCAAAGAAAGATATCTGAAATGATGGTACAGCTAATTGGAAGTATTATAAGCTGTAATCATAACTGGTGTAATTATCAATAGATATGTTCCTTGAAAAGGCTAGTTTCAAACAATTTGTATCATAAAGCTACTTGCTCTGATTCTGAAAATATAAAGCATCTAGCTATAAAAGAGATAACAAACTAGTAGATAGATGAGGAATCTAAGGAGTCTAATGTATCTTGAGGCCTATAATTTCTTGTATGTACAACTTTTTCAATGGAAATACATGGAAATTTGGAGAGTTGCCACTTAACTCTTTTTACAGTTCAGTCAAGACCACTTTTGGGGCAATTCAAGAATTAGGATATGGTGTGCCAAAGGTTCTAGGCTCTACTGGGTGTCTTATGGTATTATTGATCAAATTTGGTTTTGTTATTCCTTGAATTATCTGATATGAATGGCATCTTTGCCTTTCACGACAGAATAGGAGCAACACGGAGAACCTAATTTATTCCAGGAAAGATAAAATAAGTTCTGGACCACTCCAGGACCTGTCAATGCACTGGAGGATAAAAGAGCTTTGAAGCAGGAGCCTGATCAATAGCTGACTGGGGAGAGAGAAGTAACATCCACAGCCATTCATTTGCAGGGTAGCTCAGAGCTTGAAGCTCTCTTCCTTCTCCTATTTCTGACATCTAGATGAAACCATGGGTCAGGTCATCAATCTGTTCAGAATCATTAGTATGTTGATGATATCTGACTGTATATTTCAATCCTGGGCTGCATAGGTGAAGCTATCAATGTGCTGTCCCAATGTCTGGAGGCTGTTCAGGTCCAAGGGGCAGAACATACTTCAACTCAGTCCTGTCAAGACTGAATGGCTGTGGCTATTTCTCTTCACCCACTCCCACATTTCCATTGTTAGTTTTGGATGAGTTTATATTTCCCAATCCAGACTGGTGCACAGCTGGGGGGGGGGGCCTACTGGACTTGCAACCATTGCATCTATGACTGGGAGGCCCTTTTCAAAGATTGATCTTGTGTGCCAGTTGCGTCCCTTCCTTGACCAGGAACTCTTTTAGGCAGTTATTCATATGCTGGTCACTTCACAATTGGATGATTACAATATGCTCAACATGGGACTGGCTTTGAAGAGCATCTAGAAGCTTCAACCGGTACAAAATGCAGTGGCACAAACAGTAACAAGTGCTTCTTGGTATGTGTGAGTGCTGCTATATGAAGTACACTGATGACCAGTTGGGTTCAGTATAAGCTGTCAGTCATTACCTTCATGGCATAGTGTTTGTTTATCTGAGAGACTGTCCACTTCCAATTTTTTCTAACGGCCAAGTATGTTGCAGCAGAGTAGATATGCTCCAGGTCCCCTCTGTTAAATATTGTTGTCTTACGGGACCAAGGGAGCATGTCTTCTCTGTCACAACCATTGTCTTCTGGACAACATCCCACCAAAGACATAGACAGTGTCCTTTCTCCTGGGGTTCCAAAAAGCTCTTAAGACCTGGCTTTGGTTTCAAGTCTGGGATTAATGCATTTGTGTGGACCCTGGACTGGTTTGTTATTGCACTGGTTTGGTCTGGGCTGCCTGTGGTATTGTGGGAGGCTTCAGAACTAAATGGCTGAACTAATGGAAATTTGCTTGTCCGTTATGTGATCCTCACCCTGCCCTTTTTGGGGGGGTATTTGCCAAACACACATTGAAAATAATTGTTGGTCCACTACCATCTAGTTCAGCTTTCCTCACCCTATTAATATGTTGAGGCTAGAATTCCATGGGGGTGGGCGGGAAGGGAGTGAGAAACACTGGCCTAGTTGATAGGGCCTGGATGCAGTAGATTTCAAATGAAGATGTTAGATTATGCACATTGAGTTTCTGAAAACAATATCCTTTCTAGAAAAATAAAGAATGATATATTGGTCCTAGAAATTGTAACTCATCTATCTTACAAAGAGAGCTTCCAGCTTCATTCTCTTTCTCCTATCTGGCTATTAAGAGGAAACTTATCCAAAGAAGCACATATCTTATTTCGCAAATATATTCTGCCAAGACAGTACAAAATAAGTGCTCATTGTTAAATGGGAAATGAGCAGAATTTGATAGTAAAGAATGTTCACTGTAGAATACCATTTAATGAATATTTCTTCTTTCAAGGGACCAGATCTTATCAAGATGCATGCTAATATAATCCCTATCAAAGGACTCTTAAAAAATGGAGTTTCTTGATTAGAAGTAGTCAATTCTTGGTATTGTACAAAATCCCTGGGAAACCTATTCCCATTTCCTTTCTACCTAACTGATAGGCAGAGAACATGTCTTTGTTTTCCTAGCAATATTTGGTTCCTGATATTAATATCAATGGGAGATAAGTGATTTTGGAGGGAATGACTAGGAAGAAGACACCAAGAAATTAGAGCATGAATTTGTTTTCTGCAACTTGATTATCATGTAGGCAATGTAATGAAGATATCCACAAAGATACATCTGAGGAAAAATTATTGTAAGGATTATAAAAGAAATGATTTTTCAGTCTACAATACTTTTGTTAATTCAATCCAAACTCAGCTCAAAATTCTGTGATGGCACAATCTTCCAAGGAATTTATGTTTCATAGTTCTGTACATCTTACTTCAATAGACAGGATTGCAAGATATATTACAGTTAGAGGGTGTCTAAGACTTGCAGAATACTTAGATGCCTATAACATCATTTTAAACAGTCTTTGTTGTTAAAACAGTATTTAAAATATAAAGTGTGTACTGCCTATTTGTGGTATCAGATTTTTTTTGCATCCTTTGCCTTATACTGGCTAGTGAACTATTATACACATTTGTATTCCTCTATTATTTTTCCCATAGGCAGGACTGTCATTAGTGATCAATACTATCCTTTAATGTCACCTAGTTATTATTGAGAGAGCCAGTTTGGTGTAGTAGTTAAGGCATCAGACTAGAAACCAGGAGACTGTAAGTTCTAGTCGTCCCCCCAGGCAATAAAGCACCAGTCACTCTCTCAGCCCTAAGAAGCAGACAATGGCAAACCAATTCTGAAACCTTGCTAGAAAAACTACACG